TTTCTTTGTCTCCACATTTTGGCTGCTTCCCTGTGTTTGTTTCTATATATTGGGTAGCTGCTAAGTCTCCTTGTGTTGATAGAGTGGCCTTGTGTGGTTGGTGTCCTATAGGGCCCCATGGCTCAGCCTCCCTAGTCACCTGAGGTGGACGCTCTTGGTGCACCCCTTTGTGGGCTATTAGCACAGTCTTGTTATAGTTAACCCTTGATTGCTGTTGGTATCACTGGGAGGATTTAACCTCCAGACCAATTGACTGTGATGACCAGCTGTGTCTACACTGGAAGATCTGTTGTGCAGGAGATATCCTTATGGGGCAGGACTTGCTTCAGTGGGGCTTTGGTGCTCACTGAGTCTGCCCCTTGAGTGTGTCTATTATGGATGTGAAGAGTTGTAATCTGGTGTGGTCTCACTCTGACCACTGGGTACACTGGCTCTTGGATCTCCAAGGAGGTGCAAAGTCAGCCACTGCCTGAGGCCACCCAGCAGGAGCTACAGAGAGATCTGCAGATTCTTCCCTCTGGCACCTGGGACCTGGGCTTCCCTCACAGCCCCAGCTTCCTCTGCTAGGTCGTCCAGAAGGATGTCTGGTCTAATTAGCATATTACGCTTTTATTATTATAGATTTTAATATATTATTTATTATATTATATTTATGTTTATATTTCATACAACATATTTCCTAATGTGCCATTTTTAATGTTGGTTTTAAAAATAGTGTTCTACATAAATTTCCTGTTTTCTTATTTTTCCTCCTTTTTGTTTGCATTGAAGATATTTCATTTCAGTTTTCTCTTCTATTTCAGCCATTCTATAATGTATCACAAAATCTCTAGTTCATTTCATTTGATAGCCAAACACTTCATGTTTTTTACAGCTGCATAGTATTTCATTGTGTAAATGTACCATAGCTTAAAAAAAATTGTTTTTCTTGATTTCGGAGAGTAAGGAAGAGGGAGAAACATCAATGATGAGAGAGAATCATTCATCAGCTGCCTCTTGCACGCCCCCTATTAGGGATCGAACTCAAAACCCGGGCATGTGCCCTGACTGGGAATCTAACTGTGACCTCCTAGTTCAGAGGTCGATGCTCAGCCACTCAGCCACACCAGCTGGGCCAAACATACCACATTTAATAAAATGTTTGTGAGACTACTTTTCACAGGTTAAGCTAGTGTTATGCTTTCAAATAATCACGAGGACTTTTAGTGTCCTTCATTCACTGAAAATAAGACATACCATCATAATTTGGGGGCCTGGGGAGTTACCACCTGTAGAGCTCCCTGTTTTAAATCTTTAGAGAATATATTTTCTCCAGGTGATAGAGTAGGCAGTTAGATAGGCATGAGCAGAGCAGGAACAGTAAGCCAGGTATGGAATGCCACCAAAGCCAAAAGTCCTGGGAGCCTAGCAATGGGCAAAACTGGGAAAATAAGTATTATAGGCTAGGTCCGACCTTACCCACAGAGTGACTTCTCCTCTCCTAGAATGTTTCGAGTCATGTAGTTTAGACACACTTAGAGAAGGAACAAAGAGCTGGAGAATAGTCTTATAAACTTCCATACAAGCCCGTGCACCACCACTCCCTTACGAATTAAGTACTCAGGACAATGAGGTTCTGGTCAGCATCAAATAACCTTAGGAATAAAGCCTCTGGTCTGTTGACCACAGAGACAGAGTTTTGATCAAACTAGAGATAACAACTGGGCCTCAGTTGTATTTCAGCTCCAGGCCCAGAGAAACAGCAAGGCCAGGTGGGGTGATGCCATTGCTGACATCAGGACCAGCTGTGATGACTAATAACCTGCCTTGGTACTGACCAATCAGAGACCATGACCCTGAAAGGACATGCCTGGAAAACTGATGAATATTCTATTGAGATCATCCCTTGAGACCTCCCCTGAAATTCCTGCCTTTAGAAAACAGATAAAAACCCTCAAGGCAAGGGGCTGAGGGTGCACTCTTTTCCTTCTCTCTCTCTCTCTCTCTCTCTCTCTCTCTCTCAGTTTCTCTCTCTCTCTC